TTAAAAAATGCATGAGGCTGAGTGCGTGTGTGCTCCCTTGTGAATCTGTGTGTGTGTGTGTGTGTGTGTGTGTGGGCGGCTGCTGTCTGCTTAACAATATGAAAAATAAAGCTGACCATTTTTTTTTCACACGCCAGACACGCAAGGAGGTGGACAGCAGGGAGGTGGGCAGCGAAAGTTGCGGGCAGCGCGTGCTGATGGCCAAAAAGGACCCACAACAATGAACCTGAACGTCACTTTGTCTTTTTTCTTTGAATACCCATTAATCGTAGAATACCAGGGTATGTATGTTGTATTGGTGTAGAAGAATGTAAAAGATATAATAGAATTATATATTCCATATAAAAATAACCGCTAGCGTCCATGGTTCTATAGCTTGAATAGTGTTACAGCATTCTCGTCTTCTGTTCTCATTCTACGAATAGGAGGCTGTCTCCGGCGTTCCCTAATAACGGGTAGAGTACCTTTTAGTCGCAAGGTTCTCCTTTGTCCAGATGACACACACTCACACACCCATCCACACAGCTGGACACTCACATGTGCACGAGTATATGTGTGAAAAATCACTGCCGCATAACGAAGGTCCTTCTTTGTTGTTCCTGTTGTAGCGCCATTATTTTGCTTAATTATTTACATGAGTAAACAGTTGAGAGTTCAGTTCAGTTGAGTTCCTCTGGGATGGTATGAGATGGGTTCGGTGCGGTGCGGTTCGGGCTTGCGGATGTAATGTTTTTTTTCTTCTCATATTTATGAGAATCATTTTTGTGTGTGAGTGATGCCGTGTAAATAACCGCAAGCGCGGCGTTAAAAAATTGGTCAAAAGCTCACTTAATGGATCGCTCTCTTTTGTGTGTGAGGAAGAATGAGATTTTCCATGAGGTCGGTCGGTGAAAGGCCGCCCCATAACTTTGTCGTATCGTGTGGGTGCCCTCAGCCCCAAAAACCACACCGAAAAACAAAAGCAAAACTGCAAAGCAAAACCAAAACAGAAAGCGCACCAAAAGCATATTCCCAAAGTTTCCAATTCCATAAAAACGGGCAACGCCTTCGACATTCTTGTTTTCCCTCTTTGCTAATGTCTTTTTTTGTTGTTGTTTTGCAGCGAATCAAATCGAAAAGAGCTTCACAAGAGCCAACTTGGCACAAACTTCCAATCAGACTCAATTTGTTCCAACAACAGAGAAGTGGCGAGAGGTAGAAGTGGAAAAGGAACCCTGAAAGAACATGGCTCACATGGTCTCTGCTGCTGCTGCTGCTGCTGCTGCTGCTTCTCACCTCATCCCATCGTCGGCCCTCAGCTCTCACCGCCTTGGCAATAATAATTTCAAAATTACAAATTCACAAAACGTACGCGAAATTATGCGCAATGTCTGCACTTCGTTCCGTCCATCTCTCAGCGTCTATAGCCCTCCGATTCCAACCTATTCGAGTATGTGCTATGGCCTGGTTCCCTCCTCGGAGTCAGCATTCGATGTTGTTCATCGCCATCGTCGGCGTCTCCCGTCATCATACTCCTGTGCTCTCCTGACGGACGAGTGCGAGTATCTTTGCATCTTTCAGCTGCCATCTGCCGCCTGCCGCTGCTTCTGCTGCGCTGCTGAAAAAGCTGTGCCGCGCCTAAAGCACTTTTTATATTATATATGTTTTCATATATAGAGCTACATATATTTCGTATATGGATTGTGCGAGTATATATGCCGCCATGCCACAGCAAGGATTACATGTTGCGCAAGCCGGGCCACATCCTCTCCACAGTGTGGCGGCACAGTGGGCCCAATTGGGATCATTTTTGTTCATTTAATGTTGCATGTTGAATGTGTGAGTCCCCGATACACTTAAATTTTATATGTTTCACAACCAATAATGAGATTTTTGCTACGATTTCCTTAATCAAAGAAATAAACCTATAAATAATTTTTATTCAACCCTAAATTGTAATTCTTCGTGGGATTCAATCCTTTGTGACCACTGTGTCGCGTCTCGTCTCCATCTTCGTCTTGTATAAAATGCATAAAATTCACATTTAGATGTTGCTCTGCGGCCTGCGACTGTTGGCTTCCATGTTGCCCCGAAGAGTTTGCGACAGGGAGAGGCAGACTGTAACAGGCATTCATCATTCATTCATTGCCTCAGCTTCAGATTCAGCCAGAGCCACAGACTCAGACCTCGAGCCTCTCAGCGACGACTGTGATTTTTCATTGCAAATATGGCGAAGACGCGAATCAAGTTGCGCGGCGTGGCGCGGCGAGGCAAGGCGCGGTGCGGCCGCGAGTCTTCCCGTCTTTGAGTCAATCAAAGGCCTCAGCTCAAGTTCATTATGAACTGGCAGAGTGGCAGATTGGCAGAGTGGTTTGGTGAGTAATAAGTGTCGGGTCTGGGTCTCTTCACTCCATGTTGCAGTGGCTGCTAAAATAGTTGTCTGTCTGCTTCGATAGTTGGGCAAGTCTTGGGCATAGATCGGGTTAGGCCTCCGCCACCTTCGTCCATTTTCGGCTGCTACTTTGTTGGCGGGCAACCATCATGTTGCATGATGTTGTTGCTGTTGCTGTTGCTGCCACAGTTGCCGCTGCTGATGGGGATGTTGATGAGCTTGATGCATGTTTTGTTAGCTTCTGTTGTTGATTTGGAATGCAGTTTGGCGGTATGCCCCGAGGCCATATTTGCTGGTGCTGTTGCTGTTGCTGCTGATTCTGATTCTGTTGCTGATGCTCTGACTCCTGCTCCTGCATCCGCTGTCTGAGTTTTTTTGTTTTGCATTTTGATTACTTTTTTCCGAGTTGGCTTTTGCACAGTTTTCATTTGAAGTTTCGATTGAGTTTTGGTGAAGAGATATGTAGATATGAATCCATAGATACGGCCAGATTCTGCACCCATTCCATGCACTTTAATTTGGTTTTGAACAAAAAAATGAACTTCCTCATGTACTACGCTGGAAAAGCCGAAAATTCAGCACTTTGCCAACAATTGGCCAAGGAAAAACTTTCAGACTAACTTTTTAATGGCTTCAAACAGAGAGAGAGAGAGAGAGAACGAGAGAGCGAGAGCTTTTAACTGTAATTAGGAAACAGGCGATGCTTCCAGTCCATGCACATAAGTTTATATATGTATATATAAATATATGTACCTATTTTATGTAGCGAAAATAATAAGGAAAAATTCAACTCAATTTTCGTGAGTTCCGCTTGGCATGCAATTTGAAAATTTTCTCAATTTTCCTTTGGGGTTTTGGTTGCTGTCGCTCTTTTCTCTCTCTCCATTTTCCGTTTCGAAGAATGACATAAATTTATTTGGGTTTCTCGTGTGCGGCCGGAGCGGCGCACAAAAGTTGATGCCACAAAATGGCGTCTGGCCAGGGGAAATTGTTGCATGCATTTGCATATTTACAGCATTGGCTTGGCCCGAAAGGAGCGAGTGCGCGAGATTTTATTTGGAAAAGTGCAGGCCCACTTCCACTCCCAGTCCCACTCCCACTCCCAGTCGCATTGCCAGTCCCTGTGCCCCTCTGTCCCTAGCCAAGTTCCAACATGGCCAAAATGGCGCTGGGCAAAATGTCAACCATGTGCAAAAAGGCAAACATCACTGGAAGAGGAGAACAAACCAGTAGCAAGTACCAACCGGTCGAACTACGACTATTTCCATGGCATATTGGGACAGAGAATAGTGGGAAAAAAAGGGAACTTACATATTAAAAAGGGGAATTACATATCAAATAGAAGCAAAAAGTAACCAAGTAATAAAAACCAATAATAAATTGCTATAATAAACAATAAACAAATATATATAATAGTATAGAATTAAATCAATCAAATATTCTTTTAATCTTAATAATTTTTTCTCATTTCTTCATAATTTACAATAATTTGTATAAATATTTTATTAGCTATAAATAAATTATGATCAATGCCTAACCACTGTACATTTGGTAGGGCAATCAGCCAACCAAAGCGACGGCCATGCAATGTCCAATGGTTCTGGCCACCAAGTGTGCTCCTCCTCTACCCCGGCCCATCTGCACTACTCTCCGACCCCGGGACAACCCCTAGTCGGCGTAGAACCCGCAATTATGCTGTAGACCAAAGCAAAATAATTACTTTGATCGTCAAATGATATTATTTTGTCGGCCATGCGGTGTCTGTGCTCGGCCAGAGGGATGTGGAGGGGTGGTGTGTGCATACATATATATGTATGTATATAGAGAGCGTTTTGGGAGGGACGTTTAGGGTGTAGAAGTGGAAAAACTACAGTGGGCCGAAGGGGGAGAGGAGGCGTGGTTGGGTCTGCATGCGATTGAGTGTTGCACATGTATATGTCTGTATGAGTGTGTGGGCAATGGCCGACCCGCCACAGTGGGCGAGCATCTTAAGAAAAGCTGAAAATATTATTGACATCAATTCAATTTTAATACATTTTCCAGATTATTTGGAAAATTCAGTGGCTAAAACTGAGCTCTACTTAGTTATTTGATGTTATGAATTACCAACCAATTTTAGGGAGTCGAATATTAGGAAATCGTTTGCCTCTTATGGTCTCAGAAGTCTGTTGCCGCTTGAATACCAAGATTTTTCTATAACCAACAGTATATAAATAACATCACCACATCAGCTCACCACTATAAAATCTTAATCCCCACATATTTCTGCATCAATATTTTCCAAGCAATTTTGATGATCCCATTTGGTTCCACTGTGCACCATTGGCCCTGCAACGATGACGTCGCCAATGGCCGCCATTAGCCGAAAGTGCAATGTGCATTTGGCCAAATTTGCATTTGGTGGTAGCTCTTTCTCTGCTCCCTTTATGCCTACTCCTACTGCTTGTTCCTCTCAGCGGGTTTTGGCCCCACAAGTTAATTACTTTTTCGTACATTTTCGATGGCGCGTTTCGCACTGAAAATGTCCGCTTTTTTTTCTCCCCGTCTTTATTTATTTCACTGCAAATGAAGCCTCCTGCTCCTCTCGGTGCCCACCTCTTCCCTGTGCTGTGCTGTGCTCCAGCACACCCCGGAGCTGGAGCTGGAGCAGTTTGCTGGAGCTGCAGCTATAGCTCCATTTGCAGTTCCAGTCCCAGTCCCAGTCTACATCCACATCCGCGTCCGCGTCCTGCATTCGCTCCTCCTTTTGGTCGTTGTTAGTTTGAATGCGTTTTCGCATTTATATGCAAATTTTTTGGTTTGCATGCAGAAAATATTGCTTTCGACAAATGGCCGGAGAACGAAACGCTCTGCAGTGGTGGGGAGGGGGTATCCGAGCCAGTTTTTGGCGCAGGAGGAGCTGGGTGCCGCAATCCAGAGCCACGGAATTGGTCGGCGAAATTGCAACGCGCTGACCAATGGGCGGCGGCATCATCATCATCATCAGCGGCGTCATGAGTGTGGCATCAAATGGGCACAACCGCAAAAGTGGAATGGAATTCAACGAGGATATATGGTCTTCCAATGCAGGGGGTTAGTACCGGTACCGTACCCCCAAAGCAGAAGTTATGGGATGGAGTGCGAAATGAATTGCCATGAAATATTACGCTAAAAATTGCAATCAAAGTGTACAGGAAAAGTCATAAATTATCTGAAATTATGCAAGAAATTTGTACATACTTTTCCCGTTCTTCAGATTTGATTCAGTATGCTCATATTATACCTATAAGAACTTATATTTGGATAAGGAATTATTCTTATGATGGAAAAAACAGTTTCAGCAGTCTCAAAATCTTGAAAAAACCTTTCCCTAATCGTGCATAAACCTTGACGAATCGGACAGCCATAGCTTCTTTAATTCGACCTACGATTAGAGCATGAAGAATGCATTTTTCGTGCCAATTACAATCCATTAAAAAATGCAAACAATTCTCTGTTTTAGCTCCTTAATCATATGAAATAAACACAATGTAAAATACTTTTGGCACACCAATTTATCTTTTATTTTTCTGCAACGACTCGGAACTGTTATTTAAAAGAAATTGGTATTAAGAAAATATGTCTCAAAGATTTGAAGTCAGATAGAACTCACTGTTAAGTATGGATATAATCATGATCGACAGAACTGTTAGCCAAAGCAGTAGCCTCATGATGGGAGCGAGTCAGAAGTCAAGTGTTTCCAGCGAGAAGTTTGGGGAAATCTTTCCAGTATCAAACACAGGCGTCAACTAATCGAAATTCACTGCTGCTCTAGGAATAATTCCACTTGCGATTGGCGCATGAAGAATCCATTTTCACTGCCAATTTGTTGCCCTTAAAAACCATTACACAATCCAAACAAGTCTCACTTCGAGCCGCTTAAGCAGATCTCATTAGCAGTGTGTGTGCCCTTCGTTCAGACACTATCAACTGCTTTAGCAAATGAATATTTATGTTTCTCGGTTCCAAGAATCGCTAATAGAATTCTCACAATATTCTCACACATTTGCTTTAACCTTTTTGCCCAACTGCAGCCAACCTCCTGTGGCAAATTAATAAAAAGAGAATGTTTCCAATGAGCCGCAGATTTATGGCGCTTAGAAAAATGTGCAATTAATGCGTGTATAAATTACGGCAAACAATTAAACGTACGCCCCAGACATAATGAAAGAAGTCAGTGGGGTTCATCCCCATTCCCCATTCCACATACAGACAATAAACATTACACATACGCCTCGTGGGCGTCGACATTGCGTGCTTAAGGGCCCTGATTTATTTTCGGTAGAATTGGCTGGGCCTGGTTGGAACTGGTTGTGTATGCATATGAATGAATGTGAATATAATGAAGTTCCGATAATACAAACAACTAATTAGGCGGCAGGAGGCAGTCACATCAGGATAAGGATTGGCTGTGCAGACGCCTTGAAGTAGGCAATGGGAAATGGGTGAAATATTTGGAATAGGAAGAATGTGAAATACTCTTTTTGGGGAGTCCGCCCAAGCGAGCTGTCAGAGAGGATATGGCATACAAAATTCCCAATCGCAAAGTCATAATACTTACCCTACCAAAAGGATCTGGCAACGTAATCTACAGAGCCCCAAATTGAGTTGTCTGTGTGCGGAATGGCCAAACAGGGCATGCCCCAACCACTGGCTGCCACCCACCTCTGCCACATCTACCCACTGTTCCTGCTGCTGCTGCTGCTGCAATGCAATTCATAAATTTCAACAATGATAATCGAGCAAACTCAGAGTTTGAAGGGGGCGTTGCAAGATTGCTGACTGCAGGAGCTCAGCTCAGTTCAGTGTTCAGCAGCATCCAGTCGGCAAGTGTAACATATTGCACATGCACATGCACAGACACTCACGACACATGCTCACAGGGTATGCTGGGGTCCTTGCGGATGAACGTGGGACAGACAACGGGAGGACGTGGTCCGATGCCGTCGCCACCCAAACAAACACTCGACGCTTTTGTTCTTGCTGATGGAATTATTTGTTCGCACATTGTCAACTTGCCACTCCCCCATACTGGTGCGCCCTCATACCCCCAGTGCCGGTGCCAGTCCCAGTCCCAGTCCCTTTCCCACCCCTCCCTTATCGGCGTGTGTGTGTGTGTGCATCTGCCCCGGCTGGCTGCGTCACTTCTCATTGCAAAATGCAATTTGCCGCCACCCAACAACATGGCCCGAAAAAGGGTTTCTCCACCCCCCACCCAACCCATTCGGTCTTATCTTTGCTTTCATTTCATAAACCAGCTTCCTCTGGCGGCACCCCCCTTCGACTCTCAGTCACAGTTTGCAACACTTTTCGACCACAAAACGAACTCGAAACTCGAAACAATGAAGAGACCAGGCGACTCGTTGCTGCAACTGCAATCCATTCGAGGTCTGGCTGAGTCTGGGTGCTTTTACATATGTGTGTGTGTGTGTGTGTGTGTGTGGCAGACTGCAGTTGCTGCCACAATGTATCATCAGTTGAACTTTTGTGCGGCTGTCATAGGCAGAAATTGGTTGCATGCAGAGCTGTGGGGGCAACTCCACTCTCTCTGGTTCCCCCCCAAATAAACCATTCCCAAAAAAAAGGCCCCTTGCAACTTGATTTGCAACTTCATTTGCAATGGTTCAGGCGGAGATGCAGATAGGTTTTTAGGGCAGGAGAGAGTGTGTTGTAGGAGGTACTGACTGTATATACATACTCGTAGTAGAGATCCAAGTCGAATGCATATAAATCATATGAAATTGTTTTTGGCCAACCCCCCCTAGACCCCACACCAGACCCAAAAGACAATTTGATTGGATTTGATATTTTTGTTCAGGGTTAGGATAAGATCTCAAGGCTTGGTTTGGTTTCGGTTTGCTCCGAATTCGGGCACACAGGAGACTGGGAGAGCCTTTGACAATGGCCTTTATAGGGCAAAGACTTAATGGAGTTGTTTCCCTGAGAAAGTTTCGGGTTAAATAGTTTTTATAATTGGAGAAAAAATGTTTTATGGTTGGGGAGAATTTACGATTTCTTAAACATGTGACTATAGATTGTTGTATTATTTCTTGTGTCGTTTGAACTATTTAAATATATTTTCCACAGCCAAATCATTTCAAAGAACTCCCCCTCAAACCAAAACGAATCTACAGCTGCAAAAGCGGAAATCTTTAGTTTTTCATGCTTCAGATATCAGCATTTAATTCCGATAAAAATATTAATAAATTCCCATGATTAATTTCGAGCTGTTCCCCTGAAAAAGAAGTAAAGTTAGCCAACATCTCTATATAGCTTCTTTGCTTAGTTTATTTTTATGTTCTACTGCAATTTTGTAGAACAGCATGGCCTCAGGAGGTGGTTCTTCCCGTTGGCTGCTTAAGACTAATTGAAGACTCTCAACACCTTGGCTGAGCGGAACAAACGGAGCAAACTGTGAGAGACTCTCCCTGTATTCTTGGCCCAGACCTAATTAACTTCTCACCCATCTGCCATCTCTACACAGGCAGACACTACGCAGCTTATTTAAATGTTTATTAAATTGTGTTTTCCTCCCTGTTCCCATCTCGCTTTCAGACATTGTTGCGCCCAATTTCAGGTGCTTATAAGTTTTTTATATCTATATGTATCTACAATATATATGTGTATAATATATATGTTTATGTACAAAGTTAAGGCAAGGCAGTCGATTCACTAACAACGCGCCAACATGCAAATTGGCAATTTAGTTTTAATTTTTTAATCGTTTGCAAAGGAAAACTCAACACGTTCCGTTGATTGTTGTACAGATATATGTACTCCATATAGTATATATATTTCACTGAAAAGCTACAACTAATTTCTGTACATACAAAAATTGTATTTGCCTCAGCATTTAATAGTTGTTTTTTTTTGCAGTAGTTTTCTTCCATCTTTTTTTATAATTGCAAAATGCAGAATATTAAAAAAAAGTTTTACAAAAAGCGGAGAGTGGTGAGGAGTGGTGAGGAGTGGGGTGTGTGTGTGGGGCCTCTATAATTGTTGTTGTTGTTGTTGTTGTTGTTGTTGGAGTGTATGCAATCTCATGTCAAGCAGACATTTCAATTCAATTAAATTTGCTCGCCTCTTATCGAATAAAACTTTTGCCTTTCCTCGCCGCAAACTTTTTCAAGCATTGGGAACAGTTTTTCCCATTTTTGCGAGAAGGCGCATAAATTAATTAACTAAAAGAGGAGGGTGAATTTTATTTTAGCTTGCCACGCCTTCAGCAACGCCTCCCCACCTCCCATTACCATAGCACGAGAAGCTGTAAAATCTGTGAAACCAAAAAATCTGTAAATGAAGGGAAACAAAGGCATAAATCGATTAAATTTGCTGTCATTTTACATTTGACACATGAAACAAAATGCGTTGAAATCGTCCCTCCCCAGACCCCACGCCAACGGATATTTTTGAGGGGAAGTTTGTTCCTGTCACATGTAGCCTGGTGTGAAAACAGGAGCAATAACCGGGGTTAACATACGTTTGAAAAGCTTTTCAGATTTTGTACCCCCCCACTTTTCGAAAGGGGTTCACTCTGGTGTCCTCCCGCGGGGGTAGGGTTGAGTTTGGAGTGGGTCCTGGTTCTGGTCCTGGTTCTGATTCGGGGTGCGGGTCCGCGACGTTTATGCAAATTGTCAGTCGTTTGACTGTGAAAACATTGTGAAGCCATTTGAACTCTTGGGGGACAAAGAGTTGGCTGGAAGAGGGCTGGGAGCATGTACCACGACGAGGATGATAGAAACAGAAATTAATATAAATCGATGGAAGAGCAGGAGATAAGGAGGAATGACCCTTAAGTGAACTTGAATGAAAAAAGGGTTTTTTTTATTATGTTTCTTGAGACTAGCCGACAAAGATTAATCTGCCATTCAACTTCCTTTGCCGCCACTCTAAGTACGAGTATGAATGTTCTCTCAATTAAGTTTTACCTTCAAGCTGGAGGTTTCTTCATTCGTTCTTTCATTAAGTGCCAGCGCCATTTGAAAAATTGCATTTACAAGTGGAACGCGTTTCCGACTTGTGTTTGAGTGCCGTGTACTGGACACGCCCCCCTGTGGCACCGACCAATAAATATGCAACTTTTGCATACACTACACAGCCCGTACAGCTTTTGCTTTAACACTTGCGACAACTTAATTCGTGCCAAACATGCGAGAAGTTCTACCCAAAGACTCTCGGAGAGGCCCAATTTGAATTAATCAAGTTGGGGGGCAGGCAGCACCCACAGCGCCCATCCTAGCCACAGACCCACCATTAAGACACCCACCTACATCTACACCAGAGTGCGAGTACGAGTACGAGTACTCCTGGAAACCTCAGTCGTTGCGTGCTCTTGGATAATTTTCATGTGCGTTCCTAATGAATTTTTAATTGTTTTTCGAGGCAAACACACACACACACACACACACACAAAAGATTCGATCGAAAGACATTGGCAATTGAAACTTCTTGAAGGACAGGAGGCAGTAGGTGGGCAACCTTGGCAGAAAATCAAGTGATATCATTAATTCATCTCTCATTAGGCAGTTTTGCCTATTGATTTTTTCTGCAGGGTTAATAATGCCAGAAATTGATTTTGGAGCCGGCTTAGGTCCAAAAATGCTGATCGATAGTGCCAATTTCAGTTCATTAACATTCCGAAGAAATCCACAGTTCATATCAGAGTCTGCCACTCTGTTTCGTTTCCTTTTGGCAAACCACACAAAGTCCACATAAATAAATTGCTGGCAATTACGGCGTTAACAAGTTTTATTGACTGACTAAATGCGCAA